CCTAATAGGTCTGGCCGAGACCCTAGATGGGCTCGGACGAAGCCGTCGCACGCGAGAGGGAAGCCGGACGGGGCTTCCGAACGCAAGAAGTGCGAACGGGGCGAATGCTACGCGAACTGGGGCTTCGGCGTGGACTGGGGTTCCGCCTGGTGGAGTCGCACGATGGAGAAGAACCGCCTGGTGGAGTCGTTCCCTTTCTCTCGCTCGCTCACTCTCTGTGTATCGGGACCGAAGAACGAAAGCCAAGGGGGAGCCGAATGCCTCCCCTTCTCCCTCTCACGCTCTCTTCTCAGCTCTGGCTTCGGACGGACAGCCCAAGGGGACTGCCCAAATGAGCCTATGAGGCTTTCTTGTTGCTTGAAACGAGGGGAATGTACTTGAGTACATTGAACCCAAATTTGGGCGAGATTTGAGAGAATATCTCAGCCCTAGGTTTCAAATTTCTGATTTGGGAAATTGATTTAGCCCAAATCAGTCAATTGGGGATGAAATTGGCTTCGAATTGGGCTCGACCCAAACCGATTTGAGTCGATTTGGGTCCGATTTCGGTCGATCGAGTCAATTTGTCGAGATTGAACTCAGATCGACGCCGAATTGGACTCGACGTTGTTCCACGAGGTTCGATTTAATTTGATTTGGTTTTAATTTAATTAAATTTAATTTAATTTAATTAAATTGAGGCTTAATTCGGATTAATTTTGCCTCGACGATGATCAATTGAGTTGATCGAGCGCGATCGAGCTTTGTCGCGCTCGATCGGGGTCAAGTCGATGCGAAAATATTCGTCAACAAAAAGTTCATTTATAATATTTTCTAACCATGTCTTTTTAGGTCTACCTCTATCTATATTAACATAAGTCAAATCTAAGTTCCTGTGGAAAAAAAATTTACAAGACGACAATAGGAATGTATATCCTCAAATTCAGCATTCTAGTAATAATCACTTGATTAAGAACTAATTCAAATCTATTTTTTAAAATGAATATCAACATCCATTTTAATTATAATCCTAGTCATTGATGACTTAAAAAGCCTTAGGTGGGGCAAATTATTGGGTCAGGTGACCGAACCAACTCCGCGTTTGGACGCCAATAGAAAGCAGAAACCTGGCTGCGATTTTTTTATTATAATCTCTTTGCTTTATGTCTTGTCAACCCGATCGACCCGACCCAGTAACCCAGATGATTTGAATTCCAGAATAAAAGAATGGAAACGAAGCGTTTTGTCATTTCACGCAACATTTTCACTGCTCTGTTACTCTCGGCTCTAGTAATCTGCTCTCGGACTCCTCCAATACCTTCGGTTCTGCAATATCTTCTTCCCACCGACGGTAGACGATGACATTGAAGAAGATCATCATTTTGAAAAAGTATGGTTGCGCCTATCTTGCGCTTAACTTGCGCTTTTGTTGTGTTTATGTTATATGTTAAATTTTAGGCTTTAGTAATAATTTTTTACATTGCATTGTTTGTTCAATGTGATCTTCAAATGTTTATTTTCTGAATTTCAACCTTCTTCATAAATGGAAGAAACAAATGATGTGAATGGTTTGGTTGAGCTTTACTTGAGCTATATGTGCGCTTTACTTGCGCTTAACTTGCGCTTTTATCTTTTTTTTTTGTTTTTTTATAGATGCCATATCAAAGGCCAGTAACTTCTCGATGCTATGTCACCACTTTCAGAAAATATTGTGATGATTTTGTCGAGATAATTGGTGATGAACTTGAGCAGACATTAAAGAATTTGAACATTTATCCGTTTTTGAAGTTTCTAGCATTACAACAGCATTACAATAGTGTATACCACTTCTTTTTGAGGTTCTGAAATGTTGGAGTCCTGCTGATGAAGGCTTCATTGTCCATGGTCATTTACTAAAAATCACCTCTTACGAGGTTGCGTTGTTGATAGGTAATATTTTGAATAAGAAATTATGGGTACGGATATGTTTTTTTACTTTAAATGTAACATGTACAAAATTTTTCTTACAGGTATGCCTAACAGAGGCGATGATATCAAATGGAGGATTAATCCTCTAATTGGACCTCTAACAACTAAAATAAAAACTAAAATGATAAAATTAGACAAATTGACTAATAATGCTACCAAATTAAATACCTTTATAATATTTTTTATTAGATAATCTTTTCTTTTCACTAAACAACCATAAAACCTCTAGAAGGCTCACATTTGTTGCAAGTAAAGTAAGTGAGTTCACTTCTATTAATTGAGCTTCATGTATAAGGAACTTCATGGTCGACGAATTCAACACAATTATTGACAAGTTTTAAATGTAAAGACCATTGGGTTACATCAATGATTTTTTTTCTTCTCCTACTGGTAAGTTTTCAGTCATACTGGTTATTTTCCTCTCATAAAGCTTTTTAATATTAACTTTTAATATTATATGTTTGTTATTATACAGATTTGATTTTTGAAACACTTTTCTTTGAATAAACCATCAGATCCAGAACTAAGATCACGTTTTTTGAGATGGGAGGGGTACAATGAATTATACTTTACACAAAAAAAAGCTGCCAAATTATTTAAATTTTTAAAGAAAAATGAGATAATTTTTAAGTCTAAATGTTTAATATTATAAATGTTTTATTTAAAGAGTTGCGCTTTACATGCACTATGGTTGCGCTATAGCGCAAGTAAAGCGCAACCATAGCGCAAGTAAAACACAATGAAAGCGCAACCATAGCGCAAGTGAAGCGCAACTATAGCGCAACAATCAGGTAATTAATATATTTATATTTTTTGTAGATTTACCTTGCTCTTCAGAATGTTTCTAATGAAGAAGCAGAAAAATACGGGGCTGACATTAATATTATACAAAACCTGGAAACCCGGCATGAGCATTAACCCCTTATAATTCAATCACCCCCAACCCCAAGGAAAAAAATTCACACCACCCCACCTCCATCTCCTCATCAAGAACCACCTGAAAGTTCACCTCCACCGCCTACTCAACGTTCTACGCATCCTTCTACTAGACAACCACCTATTATAAAAACACAAGATTCAGAGTCTGTTCAGAAAAAAACTTTTAGAAGTATTTCAAAAAATGTTCAACTATAGCGCAAGTAAAGCGCAAGTAAAGCGCAACTTAAACGCATGTAAACCTCCGGATTTGTTTATCATCTTCTGTTTATCAATCCTTAAAATAATGATATTCTTCATCCTAAAAATAATAATGAAAGCTAAACAACAACATTAGAGATTTTTTTACTTTTCCGCAAAAACAAAAAATATTAATGATCTTCCTAAAAATCGCAACATCTAAGATCCTAAGACTCTAATGAGCTGAAACCGACGCCCTTTTTCTACGGCGATGAATTGAAACTGTTTACAACTTTCTATCTCGTTTTTTCAACTTGCGATGAGATTGAAACTTATCGATATGTTGAAACCAGAGGAATTTCCAGCTAAGTTAGCTTCTGATTCATGCACCACCCCTTCCGATTCATGAATCATTTCCGATTCATGCACCACCCCTTCCGATTCATGCACTCCCTCTTCACCTCCCTCTTCACTGAGCATTCCATCTCTTTTCTGCAATTAGCTAGCTCGTTTTTTCTTCTAAAGCAATAAATATTTAGATCTTTCGCGGTTTTCAAAAATAGGGCGGCAAACGCTTAAAATGAAAATAAAGTGGACTGGGTCGGGTCGATCGGGCTGACAAGACATAAAGCAAACAGATTATAATAAAAAAATCGCAACCATGTGTCTGCTTTCTATTGGCGTCCGAACACGGAGATAGGTTCGGTCACCTGACCCAATAATTTGCCCTTAGGTGGAGCATCCATGTGTGCCAAAAATAGAACCAGAAGAATATAAAGTGAATTGATTAAAGTAGTGAACTTTAAGTCATGTAAAAACAAACCCAAATTAGAGTCATAGGTTGTCCTAAGAAGAGTTAAAGTAAGGATGCCATATAATCATACACATCAAGATGCTATTAAAATACATGTGAGAATATTCTTGAGTAATCTATTTCCAATAATAATTTAATAGGCACATGACTCGAGTTGGGAAGCCCAACAGAGCAATCACTAGTCAAATGTAAATCAAGCATGAATTTGGGTATAATCTTGAGTCCAGGATGATCCCAGAGAACTTCTTTCTCACTATTGAAAAAAGAAAATGGAACTGCAAACTAAAAATCTTAGATTTGGGGTAAATGGGAGCCGGTTTGTCATGGAAGGTTATGGGTAGTTTGTGTCGAGATAAATTTTAATTTTGCTTAAAGAATAATGGAATATGAGTAGAGGAAGTAGGTGAAGCATCCTCATCACCAACTGCTTCAGCACAAGAACCTGGTGTACACACTAATCACAACACTTCAGTCCTTGAATGGTTGGAAATTAATTTATTGAATAGTAATCTTCGAAGGAGGTTCCCTTGTACCCATAAAAAAATATTGGTGGAATAGCTTGATATATAGGAGCAATCAACGAGGGTGAAGGTGTTGAGGGTTGAATATGGATGAGCCGTGGATAGCGTCATATTGGCACTATGGAAGAAGTCAAGCGGGTCCACAATTCATAAATGCACAGCTGCTAGAAAGGAGTTGAAGAATATGGCATATAAGCATGGCCGTTGGAACAAAGACGTGGAATGAAATAGATGGGAGTAGCGGCTTATGAACTTAGCAGGTGGGACGATTACCTGGCGCTCAGTGATAAATTATATAATAATTTTTCCATCTTCAATGGCCTTTTGAAATAAGATAGTTGAATAAGATGTGATTGCTTGTTATTCATATAAGTGGTCCTTCATCATGTCTACATGATTAGTAAAAACTAGTATGAACTGCTGTTTGGTTTCAGATGATTACGTTATTATTGATTCAGCTATTCCATGGCTTGAGTAGTCGTATATCATTGTGTTGTATTATTTTTCAAGATAATATATTATTTTATAATCTGAAATGTTCATATTTTTATTTGTTTTTTTTTTCTTACTTTAATCATTCTGAATGGCCATGCTGCTTGCAGACCAAAAGTAGTTTTGGAGCTGCAACCCATGAATCCTTACCAGCGTCTTCTTCTACATCGCCTTGCTGATATCTATGGGTGCACATTTTCTACATAGTTTACCCTTTAATATTTAATATCATTAACATGTTCATTTTTGTAATCATGAAGTTTATCTTGTCAAATGCTCGCTTGTAGCTTTTCTCATGTGTCTGTTGGTGAGGGCGAGGAACGCCATTTACTGCTAGAACGATGCCCAGAGACCGCAATGTATGTATTCTTCTATATCTTCATTGTTTTCATCGTTTTATTCCTTCATTTATTAGTTCTTATACAATAAAATTATGTTATCTTTCTTGTTAGACTAATACAAATATGTTTATCTTGCAAACTTGAAAACACCTTTTCACGAGCTTTTATTGGATTACGGTGATTTACTGTAATGCACATTGATTTTGCAGCCCTAGTGATTTTGTTATCGGCCTATTTTTTGACTTACTACTGAAGCATCCTATGTATAGTATCTTAGATTTATTGCACATAAAATGAGTATATACCAGAGGGAATAATTTCTAGAGTTAATGTGGGTGGTTAAAATAGAGAATTTCGACAAATTTGTTGACCTGTGCAAAGAAACAAAAAAAAGAAGAAAAAAAAATCAAATCTCACCTGCCCTGCGCCGAACCTCGCACGTCGTTGCCACTCGCACGACCAAGCGTCACGTCTCGCACGTTGCCCGCACGACTCGTTCGAGTCGTTAAAAGCCTGAAGCAACGAGGCCTTCGGCTCTTCTCTCATTCCCGATTTCTCTCTCGTTCTTCCTCACTCTCGCGTGCTTCTTCATTGTCGGTCGACCCTGCTCCTGCTATGGCTTTCCCTATCTGTGGAATCGGAAGTCACGACACTTTGGTCGGAAGCAACTTAGGGAGCTCGCTCGCTGTGAGAGGCATGCATTGCTTCTCCGTCTTCCTAGCTGTTCGACTTCGTGACTTCGACAACTTCCCCGCCTGATTGGATCGGAAGTTACGACATTTTAATCGGAAGCCCAAAACGGGAGCTCGCTTGTTGTGGGGATAACTTTCTACATTCCGCTGCTTCTTCGGCTCCTCCGGTGTTGCTCGACTTCACTTCCAAGATGACTTTCCCTGCCTGCTTGATCGGAAGCAAAGAAGGAGATCGCCGACTGTGAAGTTAACTTTCTTCCTTTGGCCCACCTCTCCGTTCCTTCGTGGCCGTCCGACTTCGCTCAGTCTGATGACATTCCCTTCTTGAGGGATCGAATGCACGAACGGGAGCTTGCTGACTGTAAAGGTGGTTTTCTCCCCTTCGCACACTCATCCGGCCAAATCCCATTAATTAGCCGAACAGAGAGGGGAGGAGAAGGATTTTTGTTTTATTTATTATTATTATTATTATTATTAATTAATTTTAATTATAGTTTAATAGTAATTAATAAAACTTAATTACAATTAATTATATTAATTATAATCAGTATTTAATTAATCATAATTAATTATGATTAAATAATATAAATTTTAATTAATTAATTAATTAATTGTATATTGATTTTATTTAATTAAATTAAATTATGATTAAATTCTACTTATTTTTTTTTTGAAGAAAATGCATAAAATTGCATAAATTCTAAATAGTTACTAGTAATAATAACTAATTTATTATATTAACAATAAATAAATGAATAATAAATTTTTCCTTTCTTACCTCGATGTGTGTGTCGAGCCGGCAAACCACCCATGCATGCTTTTCTCTAGCGTGGTAGGAGGGAACCCGGTGCGACGCCTACGACGAAGTAAGTGAGCGACCCCTCGGCCCCCAAAGTCCTCTTCTCGGCGTTCGTGTCAAGCCAGCAAACATCTATGCATGCTTTTCTCTAGCGTGGTGTGAGGGAACCCGGTGCAACACCGATGACGAGACAGGTTGGCCAGATGCACGCTTTTCTTAGCATTGTCGGGATAACTTTAAAGTACCCGTACGCGGCTCTGTACCTGCGGGGAAACAACTTCTTTTCTTGTAACAGGTACCGAAGACCCATGCACATGTTTTTTTAGCGTGGTGGGGACAAAGACTTTACGGCCGCGGTGTCCTCAAAAGAGGGCACCTACCGTGCACGCTTTTCTCTAGCGTGGCGGGAGGCCTAGTTTTCCGTTGTTTTCCCCTAAAAGGGGGAGGGAGACGTCGGGAGGCTGTCGAAATTTCGGGTGAAAACATACTGTACTCGGACCTGTTTGAACTAGAAAAGAACAAGAATTTGGACTAAAAAAAGAGTAGTGGACTAGTGGACCTAAATCTGAATAAAACCTAAATGATTTCTAAAGCTCAAATTCAAATAAAATGAAATCAAATTGAGGCCAAATTCAAATGAACTTGTAAAGATCTCATAAAATTGGGGACATAACACCTGAACTTGAACCTTGATTTGGATTCAAATGAGCTTGGCGCAAGCGGTTTTGACTTGAACTTGTACTCGGGATTTAAGTAGAACACTAATGGCCTGAACAATTTGAATGCGAGTGCTTGAATTGAACCAAAGTATTGAACATGAGCTGAATTTTAATCAAATGTGACTTGAGCCTTTCATATTCAAGCTCAAATGAATAAAAAGACCTGTACATGAGTTGGTTACAAGCTTTGACATAAATTAACTTGAAACGATCATCTTAATCTGGGTGCGAATGAATGAAGATTTCAAGCTTAGCATGCACGAGGGATAATGTATGGCATTTACACTAATCCTTGTAAATGAATGTGACTAAGATGCAACAAATGCGAACGCCCACGAGCCCTTATAAGAAAGATATTGCAATATCCTCATAACCAAAATCAAGATACAAGCAAGCACACTACAAGACCTGAATGCATACAAACAAAGAATGTAGTGGACTCTTACAACAGTCTCTACGAGATTGGATGCATCGTACATGCAAGAACAACAGATGATTGCAGAATGCATGAGTGTCCCCTATATGCATTGTAGAAACCTCCAACATAAACAACAAGCGCCAGTTGATTGAAGAAGGCGATACTGGAGACTAATTATGGAGGACCCGCCCCTACAAGCAAGTGCAATCACCGGACCACCTGAGATTGGTGAAAGGTGGATGTGATGCAAGGACAATGATTCTACTATGAATATTTCCAAGAGGTCGTAATTGATACAACAGTCCCCATAAAGTCAATGCACTATACTCATAAGAAGCAACGGACAACTGTAAGGTGTACGAGTACTACCCATATGTAGCAACCAAAGATTTGTCCCTACAAATAAGTGCAAATACATCAAAACAACCACCTGAGATTGGTGAAAGGTGGATATGATACTGATGTGAATGGCTCTTCTACGAATACTCCTAGGAGTTCGTAGTGGATACAACGGGTCCCTGCAAATGAGTACAAACCACTTGTGGATAACAATAGTGGATACATCGTAGGTACAATGAACCACTAGGGGCACAAGTACAGATATTACCTATGATAATGGTGATTAAGATCTTCAAGTACGTTGGGCACAAGGGCAACCCAATATATGAAAAAGGACACCCCTTAGCAGAAGGGAGGAGATGTTTGAGCAAATTCGAACCAAACTTCTTGGTCTTCCAAGATTTCTTCTCGATCTTGTACTCAGGAAGGAAATAATTCTGGCATCCATAAATATCAGAAACAACAAATCATCTACACTGATGATCTCAAAAATAATTCTTTTCAAAGCAGCGGACTTCAAAGTTTAAGAAGAACCTCCTCGGTGAATGAGAAAGGGGGAGTAAATATCAAGACCATATTGCCACCGGATCTGCAACACTATGCAAGCAGATAAAAGGCATCTACAATCTACTACGTATCGCCACCGGATCCGCAACACTCGTACTAGCGGACAGAAGGTGTCTATAAATTCTCAAATGAAATATTGTGTAATCAAATGACAATTACTTGCACAACTATAAATACTTTCAAAATACCCCTGCACGTGCACTGTAGTTTCTATAAACCTAGGTACACTAAAAAGGTAAATACAATTTTGACCTGCATGGGCCTCGACAAGCGTGTTATTGATCCACACGTGACGTCTAGGGATACTGCGCAGGTCGATAAGTGAATTCAAGTTCGAACGCGATCCTTCTATGCAGATTAATAGGAGTTGACAGGGTTCGAACCTTCAAAGAAATACACGGTTGTGGAGACCAGTGTATTTGTTTTAAAACATTCATATTAGGCCTCCAAGGCCTATAATCACGAGAATTCACTAATGGCATGAAGCTTACGAAATCCGATCCTCCTAAGCAGGTAAATAGGAGTAGACAGGGTTCAAGCCCATCGAATAAATATGCAGTCATAAAAATTGACTGAAATATTTATTTTATACATTCATTGATAGGGTCGTCAAGGTTTAGTCAAAGAATCACCTCACACCCCGATGATGACCGTGTTGATTGAAGATCTCAAACGGAGGGGTTAATTTCAGGCATTTTTCAAATGCCTCCCAAAAGCTCATTCAAAATTCAAAACTCCACAAAGTCCAAAACCCAACAAATCCCAAATTTTAACATATTTAAAATTGAAATAAATTCATCAAAACACTTAAGACAAAATCCATCCACCCTCCGCAACAGTTTGCCGAGGTGGACAAATTCAAATATAACTTCAGCTCGCAAAGAGCTAATGCCTAGTCGAAAATATCAGTATGATTCATTCTCAAATAATCTCCTGCTAGTAAGGACGTGGTACGTGTCCTCTAACCGGCGGTTTTATCGCTAAAAGGTACCGCAAGATAAAAGGTTATGACCTGGCCCTCTAAACCGAGTGGTTTTGCTGCCAAATGACACCACAAAATACCGATTTTGGCCAGAGCCGATACGCTTTATAGTGGCATCAAATCTTTGAGATATGAATCAATAGGATATGATCGATAAGGCACAAATCCCTATGTTAGCTAAGGTGGATTTAAATTTGTCCCATTAGACAAACATTCACCCCAGGTCTACAAGGTCTCCTTTGACGAAGCAACCCATGGCTGCCGACAAGGATCATTATGTCAGGTTGGGTCGACTATCTCCTTTGACTAAGTAGACCAGGGACAACGATGGCCCGGGACGACAGAACCATGGGATCTTGATCGGGTCCATCATCCATTCCCCCACCATCCAATTTAAGTGTTTTTTTCAGCCTGCTGTTGGTAGAGCAGGAGGCATCTTGGTAGCTTGGAGGAGTGGTATTGGTACCTTTCATGTTAGGTTCCAATCCAACCAGTGTATTAT